TAGGACTGAGAAGATCAGCCAAAGAACTCCACATCGGAACCCATGGCCTAGAATGAAACAAATAGGGTGAGAGACTGTCTGAGTTCATCATGTCGACCGAGACCATTCATGGTAACTCACAATACCAGAAGGCCGAATCTAGGATCACACATATATAGCACAAAACCAACACACAGCACACACGCACACAGACACACACACACACAGATTTTCTTAGTGAAGTCATTTGCCAAAATGATAAATACTATAAAGATGGAGAGTGGGGAGCTCAGGAGAGTCTCTTGTCATATGATCTGAATCTTTTTTTTGGTCAGGGATACTGCAGCCACACCTTGTGGCACTCAGCCATCAGGATCAGGGTGTCAGCCATTTGCAGGGGAAATAAAGGCCCTACTATCACTCTGGCCCTTATATAGCTCTTTTATCATGAGAACATACTCAAGTCCATTATTTGTTCCCTTTTTCTTGAACACACACTACCTGTGGTCAGAGCATATTCCTGGGATGAACCTTGGTGCCCTATCCACTGTATTATCTGTCCAGCCCCATTCATGCCTTATTATTGGCTAAAGTTAAACATTAAAAATACCTCAGAAATAAACAAGCAGAGGTTGGGGAACAAGTGAATTTATAGGAAAGAAGGGAAGAAATGGAAATAGTTTTTTTCCCCTCTAGTGTGTATGGGTTGTGTATATATAGTTATGTCTTTTTTGCAAAAAAAAAAAAACTAACTTTCCTCACGCTTATGAACATACTCCTCTCTTTAAAATCTTCATCAATATATACATTAATACTTCCCTACCACATGTATCACTGTCACTGTATTCCAGTTGTTCTTCAATTTACTCAAGCAGGTGCCAGTAATGTCTCCATTCGTCCCAGCCCTGAGATTTTAGCAGCCTCTCCTCACTGTCTTTCCCAACGTACTGGAGGCTCTTTCAGGGTCAGGGGAATGAGACACATTTTTTTTTTTACTGTTTTTGGCATATCGAATATGCCATGGCAGGCAGGATACTCTCAGTAGCTTGCCGGGCTCTCTGAGAGGCTATATATATATATAAACATAACATAATATAACACAACACAACATAAATAAAATAAATATATATATATTTCCGCTATCAAATATAATGTGATAATTATGGAAAATGGGTAAGGAGTGTCTTATGATGTTTCGCATGGCCACAAAAGTGGCTGTGCAATCCAGGAATATGTTTACTCATATGTGAGGCTCAGTCCAAATGTGTGGAAAACAGCCAGGAGTGTCACGGCTGTTGGGTAGTGGACATTGACTGCCTTGGCTGGGTCCCTTGGGGCGGGGAGAGCTCTCACCCACCCCCCCTCTGGGCTGCCCCCAGTGAAAAAAGCCTGGCATGGAGCCCGGTGGAATGGTTATGGGGGCCTCCTTTTATACTCCTGTCTGGGAGGAGCAGCTATGAGTTCTGGAGGGTGGTCGATGAGGAGATTATCTGGTGCTGGCAGGGTGTGGATTCTGAGGGTGACCCATGGGTCACGAGAGACTAGGGGAAGCAGGCAGAGGATCTCTGCTCCCAAGTCCCATTGATTCCAGAGTCCAAAAACACAAAGTTCCACATTACCTGGGTTCTTTGGGACTTTACTCATGCGTCAGGCTTGGCCTGATCATGTGGGAAGTGGCCTCGAGCATGGCGTCGGTTGGGTAGTGGAGGTTGGCTGCCAGGGCTGGGTCCCTTGGGGCAGGGAGGGCTCTTACCTACCCCTCTCTGGGGCGCCCCCTAGTGAAAACAGCCTGGCATAGAGTCTGCGACCATATTTATAGCTTTAAATAAAAGTGCCTATATTTTTATGATACAATGGTACTGGAAGGGTGGAATACCAGGTGAATTTAGTCAGTCACTTTAAATCTCACACATAGAACAGGTAGCCAATCAGAACACATAATGGAATGGCTGGGGGTGGGATATGGCAGCAGATGTAAGGAGCCCTCAGCCTCACCTCGTGGTCTCTGGACTCCTCTTCCTGGACACGCGCCTCTCCAATTGCAGGATCAAGTAGGCTTTCCCCGCCCAGACAGATGGCTGAGGAGGACAGGCAGGCCAGACATAAGTAGGGTTCAGACATCTGAAAGCTCAGATTCAGACGGGGCTTGGGTGTCCAGTCAGGTAGAGATACATGAGCCTGCGGCCCTGGCTGGGGCCTAGGAAAGCCGGGACAGGTTTACTGGAACTGCTGGGGTGCAGCTGGGAGGCCCAGTGGTAGGTACAGAGCAGGAGACTCTCCCTCAAGTGTCTGCCACTGTGCCAGAGGAAAGCGTACATGAGGTAGAGAGTGATGCAAAGATGGCACCTGGCTGTTGTTCATGGGAAGCGAGCAGACTGTGTGGGACAAAACAGGGAGGTGATTTGTGGGATGGGGCAACATCAGGTACAGGGCCAATGATTTTGTTCATGGGTAGAGGCCTGGACCTCTGGGGAGGGACCCAGACCCATCTACTTTAACTGTACAATAAACTGTTTTAATTTTCTGAGTTTTATATGTAAATCTTTCATACAATTCTCAAGAACCCACCAGCACAGGACAATCCACTTTCGCGCTAACACTGACAGACTAGATATGCAAAATGTTTTCTAGATGAGAAAGCAAATACCCTTGTGTTTAAGGAGAGAACTTCTATAAGAACCTTTCCTCTGTGGGATGAGGAGGAATGAAAAATACCTCGGAAAATTATGTGTAAAGGCATGTTCAATGAGACCTTAAGAAAACAGAGCTAATCTGAGATTACAATAAAGTCATATGGAAGACTGATGAACTCTAAAACATCCACAGATAATGGTTTACTTGCTGAAAAAATACGTATTAAACACATATTATGTCTCAGGGGGTACACCATTCTGCATTAGATACACCTTAAACACCCCTTGTTCTCAAGGACCCCAGTCTAACCTGGGGGTGGTGATAGTGTGTGGAAACAACTACAATTACATTAACAGTAAACAAAACCCACAAAAGCTCTGGGTGTGGAGAAACAGCACCACCCAAATCTTGTTGGAGCACCTGAGACCCTACTCCTAATATCTAAGTTTTTACAAGCTCTTCTGATAATCTGGAAATTTATTAGAATGAGAAATGATTAACTGCAGGATTATAGGAGGAACATTCTGTATCCTTCTGGAAGTGTTCCAAAGTCATCAGGTAATAGGAATATTTCTAGGCTGATGATTATAGCAATCTGAAGGCAGAAGAAGGGGTGTGGAAAGAGATTTAGAGTCTGCAAGGAAATTGGGCAGATATAGGCCACAGAAGGCAGGCTTAAGCCCAAGAAGATGGCCACATTCGCTTATAACAAAGAAGTCACAGAAAATTTCAAGCAGGTAAGTGACAGGATCAGAGCTTTGTTTGGACATCATTGGTGGCAGGGTGGAGCATGAAATGCAGGAGATTGACTGGAGTAAGGCTGTCTTGTGTCCTTAAATGTACATGATTTACAAGATTCAACTTTGGACAAGAATCAAGTCTTTGAGGACTTAAAGGTGAAGGGTTGAGTTCTAGGCAGACACAAAAGGTTCCAGATGCACTTGGATACAGTCCTGAACCCAACCACGCAAAAGAATTACCAGATTGGTAGACATGCAAATTCTCTGGTCTTGACCCAGATACATCAGGCCAAAACTCTGGAAGTGGAGCAACAAATCTCAATTCTAAATTGACTTTAAAGTTGAGAACCTCTCTCCGAGTCTGCCAAAAGTTTGAGACATGTGTGCTCGTGTTAAACAGAAAAGAACAGGAGGGTAATGAGAGATGAGTTTCCATGTTCCGTGGGCAGAACAAAAGCTATATACAACCTAGATTTTATGTAGTGGCCAGAAAAAAAAACCCAAAGAACACACTGACCATCTTGTGCATCAGCCTCACATTTACAGAATTAAAATAGCTCTGGTATGGAGGCTGTGGTGTCCTCGGAAGCCGGTTATTAAGCAAAACACGAAATAACGCTGTCTGAGCCCGCTCGAGCTACTCTTTATTCTGTAATATTCTTTATTCCCTTTTATTGCCACAAAAACACCCTTAGGAAAAAAATGTCGGGACCCCTTCGGGCCGTCTGAAAACTTCCTCTGAAAACTCTGACGCAACAGCCCATTGAAAGAAACAAGATCCCCAGTTAAAAAACAGCAAAACCCGACCACCCCCGAGCCCGCGCGAGGCTGGCGCCGGCGTCCACGACCGCTCCGCCGCTTCCCAGACACACCCCTGCGCGGGCGCGACCGGTCCCCAGGATAAATACATCACTCCCTGTTTATTCCAGACCCGAAATTAGCGGTGACTCAGAGACGGGCCCCGAGCGGCCACAGCCGTCTCGGGCAGGGGGGGAAAATGCGCAGATTTTTCCCCTCACGCGAGGGCTCGACGTGGCCGGCGTGGGCCAATCAGGGGACGGTGGCGGGAATCGCACCAAAGTAGGTAAAACCTGCGGGGATGCTTGGCGGCGGGGCCCGCGCCCGCTCCCCGCCAGCCCCGGGTCTCCGCGGCTCGGCCCCAGGCCCCGCCCCTCAGGCCCCGCCCCTCAGGCCCCGCCCCCAGGCCCCGCCCCGAGCGGCTCCCACCTGGCCAGGTGGTCTGTCCTTATAAGGACAAGAGCGGCGCCGTGGGCGGGGCGGAGGAATTAGAGCCCCCCCCCCCAGCCCCTTGCCCCTTTATTCTTTTTTTTTTTTTTTTTTCCCCCTTTATTTTATTTTATTTTTTTTTAAAGTTGTAGATTTACAATTTTTTGTGCTTTGGTTTCAATTATACAATGATCAGATACCCATCCCTCCACCAGTGCCCATTTTCTTTATTCTTGTTTTCTTTTTTTGCTGCCTCTAGTTCGGGCTCTGGTCGCGAGCTGGGAGGGTGCCGCGGGCCGCTGAGGGTCCAGCAGCCCGCGGAGCGCGGAAGACTCCTGGCCCGCGCCTGCCCGGCGTCGGAGGGCGGCCCGCAGCGGGCGGGGCCAGGCCGGCCGGTTGCGCGGCAACGGCGGGCGGCCCGTGACGTGGCGCGTCGGTCCGCGCCCGCCCCGGCCCGAGCCGCGCGCCCATCTCTGTCCCGCCCGGCCGCAGCCCAGGACGCCGCTCCGCACGCTCGGCCCCGACCGGCCTCGCTCCGCGCCCCTGCCACCGCCGCGGCCGAGATGGTGAGAGGGGCGCGGGCAGGGGGCGGAGGGCGGGAGGGCGCGGGCTCCTCGCGGTGCACGGACCGGGCAGGGGCTCGGGCGCGGCGACCCCCGGCGTCCCCGGGAGGTGGGGGGACGGCTCCTTCCTCTCCGGCCCGGGACCCCCCGCGCCCGCGGGGAAAGCGGTGCGGGTGCGCCGGGGATGGAGGTGGGGGCGTGGGCCTGGCCGGGTCCCCCAGCCAGCCCTGGCCCCCGCGACCGGCGACTCGCGCGAGTCCGAGCAGGGGAAACGGGGCCTGATGGCACAGCCCGACGGGCGGAATGATCCTGGGGGAGCTGACCCTGGCACGGTTCAGGACGGGTGGCCTCGCCGTCGCTTTGTTTGTCGTATCTGGCAATCAGCTTCCAGCTGCACTCTCCTCATGCTTCTCGAGCTTGGCAGTGTCCCTTTTAACCCCCGCCTTCCCGAGCGAGGGTTAAAAGGGACACTGCCTTAGAAATGCTCTTTGGTCCGCAAACTGTAGGACCCTGACGTCCGTGGTGTGCGGGGTGGGGGCATGATCCTAATACAAATGAAAACGCTATTCCCCGCCCTCCCTCCCCACACACATCTTTTAAAGCCGGTTGAAACGTTCAAGTCCCTAAGCGTAAACAGGCTCAGTGTATTCTAGGTGATAGGCATTTTGCTTAATTTAGGCATTTCCCCTTCTGTGTTGTCACTCTCAAGTTTTCTATAAAACAGCTTTCCTACGCAGTAGAGTGAGTAGAACATTTTGTCAGTTTCTTTAGTCGGCACACACGATTGCCATTTTTGGTCAACGATTTGCAGGCAAAGACATACCAGACTTTGCTAGAAATATTGCACTGTTGTTGCATCTGTCTGCCTGGAAGCAATGCTTATCCGTTTATATTCATACAGAATGTTTTCTGGAGGTATCGCAGTTTCATAACCACGCAGACTGGCTCATTAGTGAAGAGAGAGGTTAATTAGTTTGTTGACGATTGAAGATGGGAACATAATACTGTTCAGTTTCTTCCGTTCAAGATCAGCATCGTAAGACCTCTTACAATCTTTAAAGATTATGAGCTCAATACATGTCAGACATTTTATTTTGACACTTTCTCACTTGACTTGAAGTACTTAATAGAAGGACCATAAATTCGTGTTTGTGTTCTATTTTTTAGCTGAGTCCTGGGTACATAATAAGTAATCAATGTTGACTAAATGTATGAATAAATAAAAATGAATGAGCAGAGGACACCATATCCTCCCTTAGGCAGAAGTCTTGTTCTACTTCTTTGATGAGTTAGAATAACAAGATAAAGGTCTGGAGAGACAGTACAGCGGCTAAGGCGCTTGCCTTGCACACCAGGGACCCAGATTTGATCTCTGGCATCCCAGATATTTCCTGGGCATCCCATATGACCCCTGAGCATGCACAGGAGTGATTCCTGAGTCTAGAGCCAGGAATAACCCCAAAGCATCACTAGGTGTGCTCCAAAACCAAACAGCAACAAAACAAAACAAAAAGATTGTAAATGTATATATAATTTGATACTAAAAGACTTAATTGAAGGGTTCTTGAGTTTTTATATATAAGGGCACCCTCTCAGATGTAGTGGGTCTATTCCCATGCCTCAGGGCTTTCTGTTTTGAAGGTTTTTCTTTGTTTTTCTCCTTTCTTTATTCTTCACATATTTTGAGTATAATGAAAACTATTTTATGCCTGAAAATAGTATCAAGCATTTCAACTTTGGTTAAATGCTGAAGATAAACACTTTAAAGCTTAATACATATTTGTGTGCATTCACATATAATGAAGGATGAAATCAGTTTATTAGGGCAAAAAAACAAATCAGAAGTATTCACAATGGGCAGGTTCCAAGTATCAGACAGGTATGTTTTAGGGAGACCACGATGACCTTACAGGCTATTTCTGTATGGGTGTTTGCAAGGAGAGCTCAGAATACTTATTGATATTTTTAGAGGTTACTCTTGTATTTAACCTTATGAACAGAGAGCATCTCTGTTCAGATCAGCTACAGAAAATAACATGAAAATGGAGACTTCCTTTATTATCATCCCAGATTTTAGTACTTTTCCTTTGTATTTAAAACTGCGTGGAGTGCTTAGTTCCAAGTTTGTAAGTTTTGTTCTTTTTTCAAAGATTAAATTTTAACTGCTGTTGGGTTCAACATTAGAAAATCACTTCCTTGTTCTCACCAAGTATGTTCTAGAAGCACTTGGGAAAAAGCAATTTGAAACCAACTCAAGAGATTACCCTGGGCACTTTAAGATTTCATGCTTTCAAAGTCTCACTTTACAGTGCTCCCTACCGTTCATTTTCTGTTTCCACCCCCTCCCCCAGATAGTCTACCCCAGATAGGATCACATCTACACACTCGAAACAAAACTTTGGTATGTGTACTGTGTGTGTAGTTTCCTCATACACAGATTACTAGCCTGCGGTCAAGTTTCTCGGGTTAGCTCTTCTGAAGCGTTGGCACTGCTATTAAGGGGGGCATGGCTTGGGTACAGTTCAGTATAGTTACAGCATAGTTACATGTTATTAGCTAATTCATGCTCTTCATACTTTGATCTATACATCTGTTTATCTTTTAATCGTTTTTGCAGCTTAAATTGGTGTGTGTTATCTGGTGGGTAAATGGTTTTTGGTTTAGCTATATTTGGTTCTTTCAGTGATGAATAGTTTCTATTTGATCAGGTTTAATAATGTTTGTTTTTTGTTTTGGCTTTTTGGGTCACACCCAGTGATGCTCATGGCTTACTCCTGGCTCTGTACTCAGAAATTACTCCTGATGGTGCTCTGGAGACCATATGGGATGCCAGGGATCGAACCTGGGTTGTCCGTGTGCATGGCAAATGCCGCTTAAGTTTATCCTTTGTTGTGAGGCATTTGCATATTTGCCCAAGCTTTAGGCCTTTTAACTTTTAACAAATGTAAGCTGCTTTTCAACTGATAGTGTCTGTTTTATGTGTTGCTACATATTACTTTTCTAGCCTCAGTGATTGTCTCCTTGCTATATATCAAGAAGCAAAGTGTAGGTTGCATGCATATCTACTTTTTACTCTACTAGTGCTCATCTAGTTTGCATTTCATCAGCTATAATTATGAGGGTTTTGTCCATTTCTTCTCACCACATGATATTATGAGATTTGAAACCTTTACAAGCGTGTGATAGGTGTGAAATACTTTGACATTTATTGTACATCAATTTCTCTGATTAGTTGTGAGTTGAGTATCTTTCCATTTGTTTGTTGCAGCTTACACTTTTTTTTTTTAGATTTTTATTAGTGAAACACCACGAGGTACAGTTGTAGATTTACAAATTTTTGTGCTTGGGTTTCAGTTATACAATGATCGAATACCCATCCCTCCACCAGTGCCCATTCTCCACCACCACTGATCCCAGTATCCCTCCCACCCACCCCCGTCCCCCCCATTCCACCCTGCCTCTGTGGCAGGGCATTCCCCCTTGTTCTCTCTCTCCTTTTGGGTGCTGTGTTTTGCAAAAGAAGCATTGAGTAGCAATCATGTTCAGTCTAGAGTCTACTCTCAGCATGCATCTCCCATCCTGGGACGATCCTCCCAACACCCTTTATTTGGTCCTCCATTCTCTATCTGTGCTGCTTACACTCTTACATCCAAACACATTTGGTGAAGCTGACATTGTCCCAGGGAGGGACTGGAAGCCACAGGCTTTTTAAGAGTTGAAGGGGAAGGACTTGTTTCGTTTTTATGACTGACTCAAAGTTTCTTGCAACTTCATCTCTATACCAAATTTTGAGAATCTTTTTCACAGTGGTGGTATGTCAGAGCTAAAACTAAAGCATTGGGAGATACAAGTGAGACTCTTCCAACTTGATAAGGAGTGAACTTACTTCTGGTGGACAGTCCCCAGGGTTCCGGCATGCATGCCCTTTATGCAGTCTCCCAGGCCCCTAGATAGCAAGGTTTTAAGTAAATTATTGAAGTTCTAAACCTTAGGAATTCTTATATCCTTAAAGTTTAAAGAATTATTGTTTTATCCCCCACCTTCCTCCCATTTTGTTGTTGTGACTCTTGGGGATGATGTTTGCAAGGGCTCACACACTTGAGGTCAGGGGACTGCACCTGTTTCTAATTCTCTTGAACATTTTGGTTGCACCCATTGCTGGGGATTGCTTATTTGCTTATTGTGTTTGCTTAGGTGCTGCCTGGGCTTGCACACCTGACTGTAGTGTTCACACACTGTCTAGTTGTGCTCATCAGTGGTCGCATACTTTGTCGTGACACTTGCAAATACTTGACTGTTATCCCAGAGATTGCACACTTTATTGTGCTGCTGGCATGGTGACCTGTGCTTATGGGGTCGTGCTGGGAATTGAACTCAGCCTCAGGCTGCAAGGGAGCTTTGACCACTGGGCTATCCTAGACCTCCGCAAAGCCCTTTTTTAAGAATGTTGTAATATTTAGATCAGTGCTGTTGAATAGAAATAAAATGTGAGTTACATTTATACTTTTAAATTTCTTAATGGCCCCAAGTTGTTGAAGAGAAATAAAACGTGAGTTGTGTATATACTTTTACATTTCTTGTAGCCCCTCAATTGTTGAACAGAAATAAAATGAGTCTCATATGTCCTTTTAAATTTCTTGGAGCCCTATGGAAAACATAAAAAAAAGTGAAATTTAACTCATTACACATGATCTATATCACGTGTATTCAAATATAATAATGAGATATTTTACATTGTTTTTTATGTAAATTGCTTGAAATTCAGTATATATTTCTCAAACAGGCATTTCCTAGAACAACCACCAGCACCACTTTATATAATGCTCAGGAGGTGGTGCTGGGTGAAGGGCATGTTCTTCTAATTTTTAGTGGTGTAGAGAAGTGTGTCTTTTGAAAATATAAGACATGTTGGATTTTGTAGTTTGTGACTGTGAACGTTTAGAAACTCTACTACCCTCCTGATCTTATTTAAGTAGGGTTTCTGTACATTAGTTTTTATGCCA